TCCAAATTTTGTGCGGGCGTCACTCTATCCACTTGTTGTGGCTAATAACTTAGCAATCTCAGGGTTTGGTGTCAATTTCCAGTGGTAGTTAACTTTTGGGACCGGTGCCTCCTCATGCATGCCGGTGAAACATGGAGCATTTGCTAGGTCACTAGCGTGTACCACCCGTAGGCCGCTTGGTGTTGAGAGCAGATTTAAATTGAGTCTGCACATAAGGTCTCGGCCTAGTAGATTAACCGGGCACAATGGGGAATATAGAAAAGAATGTTTAAGCTGGTTGCCCTGAGAATCAAAACACGTTAGCGGTGACGTAAATTGCTCTTTAGTCGTCTCTCCCGACGCTGCTAATTAGAATGTGAAGCGGCCACTCATTTTAGGGGAGACAGAAAGGCTGTCACTTTTTAGCACAGAATTTGTTGCCCCGGAGTCATCCAGAATTTTAACTTGTACACCACAGATTGTTAGCGTATATTACGGGAATTCAGCATGAATTATCTCTAAAAAGTGCCAATTGCAATTTGTTGTTGTTCAACTTACATGAGCGGTCGCTTTGGTGACGAATGTGAACCCGGGTTTGGTCAGTCGCTCGTGTTTCCTCCACGCCCGCCTCTGCCGTCCTCTGGCCCCGTGTTAGCTTGAGCGTTCCTCTGCCTTTAACGCCTCCTCCGGTAACAGTCCTTCGACCCATGTCGAGCACACAGTCTTTCCGCCGGGCTGTGGAAGTTTCTCAAAGTCCGCAGGAGGCCCAGGTAGCCCAAAGCGTTAGCCTGTGGTCCATGAGGGTTGGTGAATAACCAAACGTGCCGGTACTTTTGGCTTCTTCTGTTTGCGGTGCGGGGGCAACTTTCAACGAGGTTTCAGCGGGTGCGTTTTGTGTTTCACGCTACCCCCTCCGTGGGGAACAGTCACGGGATTTGGAGCAGTTTGTCTCTGGCCTCCAAGGCAGTTGTCGGTGTCTCACATATCTGCTTCCCCCGCTTCTTCTTCTGCGGTTTCCTGAGCGTGTATCTGCTTCCGCCACGTCTTCTTCTGCTCCCGGGTTTGGGCCCACTTCTCGCGGGGTCTCAGCTGGTGCGAGCGCCGCCTGTGGTTGGGGCGTGGGGCTGGTGCTTTGAGGCAGAGGACAGAGCGCGGAGGAAAGGCGCCGACAGACCTGGACAGGGAGAGGAAAAAGGGACAACAGTAGTCTGCTCATTTTTTTTTAAAAACCCAACGCCTTGTTTGGGTGCACACTTATTGTTAGTAGGGGAAAAAGGGCGGTAGGGTGGGGGTGTGGGGGTGTGGGGGATGTGTGTGTGTGTGTGTGTGTGTGTCCGCCTGTGTGTTCTCCGCTTCGGTGAAAAGCGGAGGAGCTATTGTTTTTACATATTTCTTTCTCTAACGTCTTTTGCCGTGATATTCTTAAAACCAAGTATATTTTTTCTTCCCTTCTTCTTCTAAATTATCACGCAAGATGCGTAGTTGATTCGGAGACATAGAGCCTCCATAGCTTTAGGTCCGAACCGTTTTTCCATTGTCATTGTAACAGGGGACGTTAACCTTCCCCTCGGTGTGGCATCTCTAGATTGATTTTCCCATTTTCTCGTACAGAACAATGGGCCTAACCCGCTTAGTCTCTCCCTGCTCTTACCCACTTTGGGGCGCTCCGTTCCCCCCCCCGCTGGTTCAACCAGCGAGCGCGCGTTCTTGAAAACGGAGCGGTTCTGGCTGAAGACACTCAGAGATTCCAGGGTCGCTTACAGAGCGATACTAACGCGCAGCCGCTAGCTTCAATCTAGAACAAAAGCCCCCAAAAATCCCGCACACAGTCTATGCTGTGGCAATGCATGAAATACCCCAAAAATACATAAATAAACAAATCCCCGTGTACACTTAAGTGCTCGTTACGCAGATGAAAAGACAAAACTCACCAAATCAGGTTCTTTTTGGTCTTGTGTGGCCAAAGATTCCTTTCACGCGCGGACGAGCGCGCCCTCCTTTGTCTCCAAATAGAGAAGAGGCTGGTGTTGTTTCCAGGTCGGCCAAACGCGGCCGCTCGTCCCCGCCGAAAGTATCCATGCCAAGACATGCCAGCAACGCCAAATTGTTAAGGAAGTTTCTATCCAATGAAGGAGAAAACTCAAAGGTCTTTGTCTTAATTCAGGAGCGTAAGTTTATTGTAACACACGTGCGGAGGGCTGACTACACAGAAACAGCGTGCATTCAGCTCTGGCTCGCAGAGCTCCGAGTTTCCTGTTTACAAGACACACACGAAAGACAGTCCCGCCCACAACAGATGGGAGGGGGTTCAGCAGAGACGGGGCTCTGGAGCGGAGACGCCATGTCCCGGGGAGAGACATCTGGCCGCGCCATAGGGATGCAAACAGACTGCAGGATGTAGAAAATGCACACATACAGACCGATACATATGCAAGAGGTGAAAGGGGGCAAGAGTGATCGCCATTGTCTGTAGGTGTCGGGGGGGACCCGGCTCCTTCCTGGAGCAGGGACATATGAATAGAAGCAGGCATACAGATGCAAGATACGAAAGACACAAGGGTGTGACAGACAGCAGGGGCCCTCACAAAGCTCAGCATGGCGTCAGAAGGTCGTCTCTGCATTGATAAGAGGCCTTTGACGTCCGTGTATTTGCTGCGGCTGGTTTTATGTAATTACTCCAAAAACTGTCACCACAGCACCATGGCCTCGGATTTGGAGGTGCTGATTCTCATCCCAGTCGCTTCACACTCGGCTGCAAACCGCCCCAGTGCATGTTGCAGGTCCTGGTTCGTTGGAGCCAACAGGACAACATCGTCCGCAAACAGCAGAGATGAAATCCTGTGGTCTTCGAACCGGACCCCCTCCGACCCCTGGCTGCGCCTAGATATTCTGTCCATAAATACAGTGAACAGAACCGGTGACAAAGGGCAGCCCTGTCGGAGGCCAACATTCACCGGGAACAGGTCTGACTTACTGCCGATAATGCGAACACAGCTCTGGCTCCGGTCATACAGGGATCGGATGGCCCTCAGCAGAGGACCCCCGACCCCGTACTCCCGGAGAACCCCCCAAAGGACATCCCGGGGAACACAGTTGAACGCCTTCTCCAAATCCACAAAACACATGTGGACAGGTTGGGCGAACTCCCATGAACCCTCGAGTATCCGATGGAGAGTATAGAGCTGGTCCAGTGTTCCGCGACCGGGACGAAAACCACACTGCTCCTCCTGGAACCGAGATTCGACCATCGGCCGTAACCTCCTCTCCAGTACCCTGGAGTAGACCTTACCGGGGAGGCTGAGGAGTGTGATCCCACGATAATTGGAACACACCCTCCGGTCCCCCTTCTTGTAGAGAGGGACCACCACCCCGGTCTGCCACTCCATTGGCACTGCCCCCGATCGCCACGCGATGTTGCAGAGACGTGTCAGCCAAGACAGTCCTACAACATCCAGAGACTTTAGATAATCAGGGCGGATCTCATCCACACCCGGAGCCTTGCCACCATGGAGGCTACCAACCACCTTGGTGACCTCAGCCAGGGAGATGGATGTATCCGCCCCAACATCCTCAGCCTCTGCCTCTGTAACAGAGGACGTGACGGGGGGATTGAGGAGAACCTCGAAGTATTCCTTCCACCGCCCGACAATATCCCCAGTCGAGGTCAGCAGCTCTCCACCCGCACCGTACATGGTGTTGGCAAAGAACTGTTTCCCCCTCCTGAGGCGCCGGATGGTTTGCCAGAATCTCTTCGAGGCCGACCGATAGTCATGCAGTCCAATGTGAGGGATTTAAACTGAGAGCCTGCAGACCAATGAGAGGGATTTAAACTGAGAGCCGCAGTCCAAAGCGAGGGATTTAAACTGAGAGCCACGGTCCAGAGTGAGGGATTTAAACAGAGCCTGCAGTCCAATGCGAGGGATTTAAACTGAGAGCCTGCAGTCCAATGCGAGGGATTTAAACTGAGAGCCTGCAGTCCAATGCGAGGGATTTAAACTGAGAGCCTGCAGTCCAATGCGAGGGATTTAAACTGAGAGCCTGCAGACCAATGTGAGGGATTTAAACTGAGCTTGCACACCGATGCGCGGGGCCAACTGAGCCTGCAGTACAATGCGAGGGGAATAAACCGTCCGCAGGTCAGCATACTTACCCACAAGCGCCAGAAGACAAGGGAAAACACAACGGGACCACGCCGTACCGGCACGAGGAGGCAGGGATGCGCACAGCTCCCATCGCACCGGTCCAGACCGGCCGTATGCAGCAGCGGCCGCGACGAGACGAGCAGCGGCGAACCCGCAGAAAGAGCCCGCAAAGGAGGAGAGCGGCAAAGACCCACGGACCACAGCACGAGACCCGCAGCAGGTGCAGCGACGCGGAGGAGGAGCAGACCACACGCAGCAAGACAGAGGACAGCAGGGACACGCACGAGTAAGCGTGAGTAGACGAAAGCGATTCCTCCAGAACGACTCCTTGCGAGGCTTGAAGTGGGAGTCTCCGCTTTTAAGCTGCTTGCTTGGCCTGCATAGGTTGGCTGGGAATGGGCGTTTGCTGTGCGATAGGCAGAGGATGAGAGGCAGGCTTGGAGGGGATAGCTTTGGCAATCAGTCTACCAGTTTGAACCTTCGCGAAGCTCCATTTGTAATGTTGGCACTTTACTTCATCCACTGCTTTTGCAGTTACTTTTATATTAAAGAGTTCAATTATTTTAAAACATTTTAGCATGATCATTTCCAGTATCGGTAAATATCGGTATCGGTAGATACCCATAGCTCTGGTATCGGTATCTGTAGTAAAAAAGCTGGATCGGTGCATCTCTAGTTGAGCTAGCAGGTTAGCATTAAGCTAGCAGGCTAGCATTGAGGTAGCAGGTTAGCATTGAGCTAGCACAGTCCATCTATAAACAGTGTGTGTTTAAAACCAGAAGATAAAGGACGTCAAGCGAAGCCGGGATAGGTTCTGCTCCCTGATTGGCTGTTGATGACCTCACCAGTCGGCCTGGTGCTGTGTGATTGGTTGCTCACCTGTAGGCCTGCTGCAGGAGGCGGGACAGTCCTCTCTGGTTCTGCTCTGTGATTGGCTGAAGCTCAGAGTCTTGTTTGAGGAAGTGCAGCAGCTCACAGCAGTTTGACGTCCAGAAGCAAAGAGCAGCAGGAGAGGAGGGGCGTGTCTGCAACAGCCAATGAGAACACACGTCTACAACAGCCAATGAAAACACACGTCTGTACCGACCAATGAGAACACACGTCTGTACCAACCAATAAGAACACACGTCTGCAACAGCCAATGCTGTCTGTACCGACCAATGAGAACACACGTCTGTACCGACCGATGAGAACACACATCTGCGACAGCCAATGAGAACACACGTCTGTACCGACCAATGAGAACACACGTCTGCGACAGCCAATGACAACACACGTCTGTACCGACCAATGAGAACACACGTCTGTAACAGCCAATGAGAACACACGTCTGTACCGACCAATGAGAACACACGTCTGTACCAACCAATGAGAACACACATCTGCAACAGCCAATGAGAACACACGTCTGTACCGACCAATGAAAACACACGTCTGTACCGACCAATGAGAACACACGTCTGTAGCGGCCAATGAAAACACACGTCTGTAACAGCCAATGAGAACACACGTCTGTAACAGCCAATGAGAACACACGTCTGTACCGACCAATGAGAACACACGTCTGTACCGACCAATGAGAACACACGTCTGTAACAGCCAATGAGAACACACGTCTGTACCGACCAATGAGAACACACGTCTGTACCGACCAATGAGAACACACATCTGTACCGACCAATGAGAACACACGTCTGTGCCGACCAATGAGAACACACATCTGTACCGACCAATGAGAACACACATCTGTACCGACCAATGAGAACACACGTCTGTACCGACCAATGGCAACACACGTCTGTGACAATCAATGAGAACACACGTCTATACCGACCAATGAGAACACACATCTGTACCAACCAATGAGAACACACTTCTCACCTGGATCACGCTCCTCATACGTTCCTCCATCTTGGCGACGAGGGTTCGAATCCGCGCCACCTTCATCTGCGTCTCCTTGGCTAGCACCTCCTCGACTTGAGCCAGACATAAACACACAACATAAACACACACACACACACATAAACAGACAGATGCACACACATAAACACACACACACACATCAACACACACACACATAAACACACACAGACACACACACAAATTAACACACAGACACACACACACATTAACACACAAAGAGAGACACACACATACATACAAACCCTCTTTACCTCTATCCTCCTCCTCTTTACCTCTGTCCTCCTCCTCTTTACCTCTGTTCTCCTCCTCTTTACCTCTGTACTTTTCCTCCTCTTTACCTCTGTCCTCCTCCTCTTTACCTCTGTCCTCCTCCTTCTCCTCCTCTTTACCTCTATCCTCCTCCTCCTCTTTACCTCTGTCCTCCTCTTTACCCCTGTCCTCCTTCTCCTCCTCTTTACCTCTGTCCTCCTCCTCTTTACCTCTGTCCTCGTCCTCTTTACCTCTGTCCTCCTATTCCTCCTCTTTACCTCTGTCCTCCTCCTCCTCTTTACCTCTGTCCTCCTCCTCTTTACCTCTGTCCTCCTCCTCTTTACCTTTGTCCTCCTCCTCTTTACTCCTGTCCTCCTTCTCCTCCTCTTTACCTCTGGCCTCCTCTTTACCTCTGTACTTTTCCTCCTCTTTACCTCTGGCCTCCTCTTTACCTCTGTCCTCCTCCTCTTTACCTCTGGCCTCCTCTTTACCTTTGTCCTCCTCCTCTTTACCTCTGTCCTCCTCCCCCTCCTCCTCTTTACCTCTGTCCTCCTCCCCCTCCTCTTTACCTCTGTCCTCCTCCTCATCCTCCTCTTTACCTCTGTCCTCCTCTTTACCTTTGTCCTCCTCCTCCTCCTCTTTACCTCTATCCTCCTCCACCTCTTTACCTCTGTCCTCCTCCTCCTCCTCTTTACCTCTATCCTCCTCCACCTCTTTACCTCTGTCCTCCTCCTCCTCCTCTTTACCTCTGTCCTCCTCCTCTTTACCTTTGTCCTCCTCCTCTTTACCTCTGTCCTCCTCCTCTTTACCTCTGTCCTCCTCCTCTTTACCTCGTCCTCCTTCTCCTCCTCTTTACCTCTGTCCTCCTCCTCCTCCTCCTCTTTACCTCTGTCCTCCTCCTCTTTACCTCTGTCCTCGTCTTTACCTTTGTCCTCCTCCTCTTTACCTCTATCCTCCTCCTCCTCTTTACCTCTGTCCTCCTCCTCTTTACCTCTGTCCTCCTCGCCCTGCTCTTTACCTCTATTCTCCTCCTCCTCTTTACCTCTGTCCTCCTCCCCCTCCTCCTCTTTACCTCTATCCTCCTCCCCCTCCTCTTTATCTCTATCCTCCTCCTCCTCTTTACCTCTGTCCTCCTCCTCCTCTTTACCTCTGTCCTCCTCCTCTTTACCTCTGTCCTCCTCTTTACCTTTGTCCTCCTCCTCCTCCTCTTTACCTCTATCCTCCTCCCCCTCCTCTTTACCTCTATCCTCCTCCTCCTCTTTACCTCTGTCCTCCTCCTCCTCCTCTTTACCCTCTGTCCTCCTCCTCCTCCTCCTCTTTACCTCTGTCCTCCTCCTCTTTACCTCTGTCCTCGTCTTTACCTTTGTCCTCCTCCTCTTTACCTCTATCCTCCTCCTCCTCTGTCCTCCTTCTCCTCCTCTTTACCTCTGTCCTCCTCTTTACCTCTGTCCTCCTCCTCTTTACCTCTGTCCTTCTCTTTACCTTTGTCCTCCTCCTCCTCTTTACCTCTGTCCTCCTCCCCCTCCTTCTCCTTACCTCTGTCCTCCTCCTCTTTACCTCTGTCCTCCTCTTAACCTCTGTCCTCCTCCTCCTCTTTACCTCTGTCCTCCTCCTCCTCTTTACCTCTGTCCTCCTCCTCTTTACCTCTGTCCTCCTCCTCCTCTTAACCTCTGTCCTCCTCCTCCTCTTTACCTCTGTCCTCCTCCTCTTTACCTCTGTCCTTCTCTTTACCTTTGTCCTCCTCCTCCTCTTTACCTCTGTCCTCCTCCCCCTCCTTCTCTTTACCTCTGTCCTCCTCCTCTTTACCTCTGTCCTCCTCTTAACCTCTGTCCTCCTCCTCCTCCTCTTTACCTCTGTCCTCCTCCTCCTCTTTACCTCTGTCCTCCTCCTCCTCTTTACCTCTGTCCTCCTCCTCCTCTTAACCTCTGTCCTCCTCCTCCTCTTTACCTCTGTCCTCCTCCTCTTTCCTCTGTCCTCCTCTTTACCTCTGTCCTCCACCTCCTCTTTACCTCTGTCCTCCTCCTTCCTCTCCTCTTTACCTCTCCTCCTCTTTACCTCTGTCCTCCTCTTTACCTCTGTCCTCCTCTTTACCTCTCCTCCTCCTCTTTACCTCTGTCCTGCTTCTCCTCCTCTTTACCTCTGTCCTCCTCTTTACCTCTCCGCCTCACCTCTGTTCTCCTCCCCCTCCTCTTTACCTCTATCCTTCTCCTCCTCTTTACCTCTGTCCTCCTCCTCCTCTTTACCTCTGTCCTCCTCCTCCTCTTCACCTTTGTCCTCCTCCTCTTTACCTCTGTCCTCCTCCCCTCCTCTTTACCTCTATCCTCCTCCTCCTCTTTACCTCTGTCCTCCTCCTCCTCTTAACCTCTGTCCTCCTCCTCCTCTTTACCTCTGTCCTCCTCCTCTTTACCTCTGTCCTCCTCTTTACCTCTGTCCTCCACCTCCTCTTTACCTCTGTCCTCCTCCTTCCTCTCCTCTTTACCTCTCCTCCTCTTTACCTCTGTCCTCCTCTTTACCTCTGTCCTCCTCTTTACCTCTCCTCCTCCTCTTTACCTCTGTCCTGCTTCTCCTCCTCTTTACCTCTGTCCTCCTCTTTACCTCTCCGCCTCACCTCTGTTCTCCTCCCCCTCCTCTTTACCTCTATCCTTCTCCTCCTCTTTACCTCTGTCCTCCTCCTCCTCTTTACCTCTGTCGTCCTCCTCCTCCTCTTCACCTTTGTCCTCCTCCTCTTTACCTCTGTCCTCCTCCCCCTCCTCTTTACCTCTATCCTCCTCCTCCTCTTTACCTCTGTCCTCCTCCTCCTCTTTACCTCTGTCCTCCTCCCCCTCCTCCTCTTTACCTCTGTCCTCCTCCTCCTCTTTACCTCTGTCCTCCTCCTCCTCTTTACCTCTGTCCTCCTCCTCCTCCTCTTTACCTCTGTCCTCCTCCTCCTCTTTACCTCTGTCCTCCCCCTCCTCCTCTTTACCTCTGTCCTCCTCCCCCACCTCCTCTTTACCTCTGTCCTTGGTGTCCACAGAGCTGCGGCAGTATTCCGTTGACCTGGATTTGAATAAAAAGTTAAAAAGTCCATTTAACTGGACGTGTTACAGGAGGAGGTGTTAAGGAGGAGAGAAGAGGAGGAGGCGAGAGGAGAAGGAGGAGCAGGTGGAGGGAGACAGTGTATGTGTGTGGACATGTGTGTGTGTGTCTGTGTGTTTGATTTAATCAGGAATAGTGGAAACCGTGAGCACAATTTTGAGGTTTTAAAGGCCGGCATTGGAACTTTAGTCCCAGCTAAACAGCCAAATTGCCCAGTTAAATCCAGTGAGTTTTTGCACTGTATAGACTGTGGGGCATTGCTTAAGCGAAAGTCGCTGTGGAGGCATGTGGCCAGGTGCCGGCTTTCACAGAAAGATGCCCAGGCTAAACCAGGTAGAAGTAGGGTCCAGTCCCTCTGCTCCCTAGCCCAGCCTGTACCGGAGGGCATCAGCAAAAAGCTGTGGTCTTTAATTTCGGCAATGCATCAGGATGAGGTCACGGGTGTTGTCAAAGCAGAAAAGGGGATTCTGAGACTCGGAGAGCACCTGTACTTAAAACACGGGCATGATAAGACTAAGCATGATTACATTAGGCAGAAAATGAGAGAAGTCGGTAGGTTAATTAACGAAGCAAAAACTGCAGGGAAACTGAAAACAATTAAGGATTTCTTTATTCCTTCCAACTTTAACCATGTGATTGATGCAGTCAGGTCTGTGGCTGGATATGATGAGGAAACAAATCAATACAAGACTCCATCCTTGGCCCTCAAACTCGGCCATAGCCTCAGAAAGCTAGCAGATATTCTTGAATGTGACTCAAAAATGGAGCATTGTGTTGAACTATTTATTAAAAACCTCCAACGAAGCCGGCTGCTTTTTGAGAAGAGGTGGGACGTCTGTGTTTCTTCTGCTGCCCTACAGACCCTCCGGCAAGCCAAGTGGAACACTCCGGACCTGCTCCCTCTGACTGAGGACGTTAGAGCCATGCATGCACATATTGAGGTATGTCGACCTGAATATGTGCAAACCCTAATAAGTGAGCCAACGTCTAAGCATTGGTCTAAACTGGCAGTTTTGACTCTTTGTGAGGTCATTATTTTCAATCGAAGAAGGGAAGGTGAGGTTTCAAAGATGCCACTGACAGCCTTTACCTTAAGAAGTAAGACTGGGATCCATTCTGACATTGCTCTGGGACTGTCCCAACTTGAGAAAAAGCTGTGTCAGCATTTTCAACGCATTGAAATTAAAGGGAAAAGAAGTCGGAAAGTGCTGGTTATTTTGACTCCTGAAATGATTGCTTCGATGGAGGTGCTGGTGGAGAACAGAAGGGCCTGTTCCATCTCTGACCATAACCCATACTTCTTCTCCCGCCCGGGCGCAGACACCCACATCAGGGGATCAGACTCCCTACGCCAGGTAGCCAAAGAATGTGGTGCGGTGCATCCAGAGATGCTATCCTCAACCAAACTTAGAAAGCACATAGCTACTATGTCTACAGTTCTCAATATGAAAGAGAATGAGATGGACATACTAGCCAACTTCCTCGGCCATGACATTCGCATCCACAGGCAATATTACAGACTACCAGAGGGGACACTGGAGCTGGCCAAAATCAGCAAAGTGTTGATGGCCATGGAGCAGGGAAGAGTGACGGAATTCGAAGGAAAGAGCCTCGACCAGATACAAATTGAGCCTGAAGGTAATTCTTGATATTATTAAAATATGTATGATTTTTTTCCCCTAAAGGCCACTTGTATTTTTATTTTCTGTGCGACAGGGAGAGCAGTAGAGATCCTCTCACAAACGGACGGGCTAAAAGAAACTTCAAGCGGAGAACCTTCAACCATTCATCCAGATGCACCCCATGGTAGTGGCAGTGCCCCTTCTGGTAAGTGTACCAGGTGGGGGATTACAGCCAGGCTGCTTGGTCCTAACCCTGGGAGTGTATATTGCTAATATATTTTTATTTCTCTCCCTAGAACGTGTAAGAAAGCCATGGTCTGCATCTGAGGTGAAGGCTGTGGAGAAGACCATGACACCTTTCATACAGACTGGAAAGGTCCCTGGGAAGTCTCACTGCCTGGCCTGCATTAATGCCTCACCAGATGACCTTAGACATCGGACATGGAGTGGCATTAAATTCTATGTCAAAAATAGAATCACTGCAATTCGAAAAAAAAATCTTAAATAAAATTCCTTTAAAATAGTTGTTTGTTTTCTATTGACTGTTTTGTATTACTTAAAGTAGTCCCAGTAAAAAAAGATTATGTCTATGGGTCCCATTCTGAACGGCCCTGTCAAAGGGACCCACCAGGTAACAAAAACGTGTGTGTGTGTGTGTGTATTATGGATGGAGTTTATATGTTTGGAGCGTAGGTCTGTGGGCGGGCTCTGGTGCAGACCATGATCCCCGGGGCCTGGACACTGGAGGTGGAAACAGGGCAAGGTGAATGTGAGCGTGTGAGGAGGTAAGGAGGTGGAGGAGGAGGTGGTGGTGGTGGAGGAGGTGGTGGAGGAGGTGGTGGTGGAGGTGGAGGAGGTGGAGGAGGGGGAGGAGTGGGGGTAGGTGGAGGGGGAGGTAAGGAGTTGGGAAGGGGGTGGAGGCGGTGGAGGAGATGAAGGAGGAGGTGGAGGAGGTGGTTGCGGCTTGAAAGGTTGATGATCTCTGCTTTTAAACACTCTCTTGATTGACAGGGAGGCATCAGGCTGCAGCCAATCACAAAGCAGCACACTTGAGGCTGCAGCCAATCACAGAGCAGCACACCTGAGGCTGCAGCCAATCACAGAGCAGCACACTGAAGGGAACACAAACCACTGGTAAGTGCTGACTACAAGTCATGACTTCAAATTGTTATATAGAATTATTACAAATTATTTGTTGTTCGTGCAGCTTAGTCAAGAGTCCCTGATTGATGAAGTCGACTGACGATTTAACTGTCAAGAAGAAACCTGTAAAAAAGTATGGAAAAAAGAAAAGTAAAAAATACTTTTCTTCCAGACTCAGACTCATGCCACAGCTCTGAGGGAGCGCTGACAGCAGAATGTCACCCACATCTGCTGCTCCTGCACTGAATGTTCATTTCTCCACCATAAGCCGTCTCCAAAGGCCAGAGAGAGAATATGGCAGTACATCCAACCAGCCTCACAACCGCAGACCACGTGTAACCACAGCAGGACCTCCACATCCAGCCCAGGACCTCCACATCCAGCCCAGGACCTCCACATCCAGCCCAGACCCTCCACATCCAGCCCAGGACCTCCACATCCAGCCCAGGATCCAGAAGATAAAGGACGTCAAGCGAAGCCGGGATAGGTTCTGCTCCCTGATTGGCTGTTGATGACCTCACCAGTCGGCCTGGTGCTGTGTGATTGGTTGCTCACCTGTAGGCCTGCTGCAGGAGGCGGGACAGTCCTCTCTGGTTCTGCTCTGTGATTGGCTGAAGCTCAGAGTCTTGTTTGAGGAAGTGCAGCAGCTCACAGCAGTTTGACGTCCAGAAGCAAAGAGCAGCAGGAGAGGAGGGGCGTGTCTGCAACAGCCAATGAGAACACACGTCTACAACAGCCAATGAAAACACACGTCTGTACCGACCAATGAGAACACACGTCTGTACCAACCAATAAGAACACACGTCTGCAACAGCCAATGCTGTCTGTACCGACCAATGAGAACACACGTCTGTACCGACCGATGAGAACACACATCTGCGACAGCCAATGAGAACACACGTCTGTACCGACCAATGAGAACACACGTCTGCGACAGCCAATGACAACACACGTCTGTACCGACCAATGAGAACACACGTCTGTAACAGCCAATGAGAACACACGTCTGTACCGACCAATGAAAACACACGTCTGTACCGACCAATGAGAACACACGTCTGTAGCGGCCAATGAAAACACACGTCTGTAACAGCCAATGAGAACACACGTCTGTAACAGCCAATGAGAACACACGTCTGTACCGACCAATGAGAACACACGTCTGTACCTACCAATGAGAACACACGTCTGTAACAGCCAATGAGAACACACGTCTGTACCGACCAATGAGAACACACGTCTGTACCGACCAATGAGAACACACATCTGTACCGACCAATGAGAACACACGTCTGTGCCGACCAATGAGAACACACATCTGTACCGACCAATGAGAACACACATCTGTACCGACCAATGAGAACACACGTCTGTACCGACCAATGGCAACACACGTCTGTGACAATCAATGAGAACACACGTCTATACCGACCAATGAGAACACACATCTGTACCAACCAATGAGAACACACTTCTCACCTGGATCACGCTCCTCATACGTTCCTCCATCTTGGCGACGAGGGTTCGAATCCGCGCCACCTTCATCTGCGTCTCCTTGGCTAGCACCTCCTCGACTTGAGCCAGCTCCATCTGCACCTCCTCGGATCGGGTGGAGGAGGCGCGGGGGCATAGCACGGAGCGCACAGCTGCGTACAGGACGAAAGCCGGAGACAAAGGGAAGAGGGGCCCACCGCTGATCTCTGGGTCTATCACCGCGGCAACAAGAGCATCCTCATCTGGAGTCAGGGACCAGAAGAAGTCAGGGACCAGAGGGAGCCAGGGACCAGAGGGAGCCAGGGACCAGAGGGAGCCAGGGACCAGAGGGAGTCAGGGAGCAGAGGGAGTCAGGGAGCAGAGGGAGTCAGGGAGCAGAGGGAGTCAGGGACCAGAGGGAGCCATGGACCAGAGGGAGTCAGGGACCAGAGGGAGCCATGGACCAGAGGGAGTCAGGGACCAGAGGGAGTCAGGGACCAGAGGGAGTCAGGGACCAGAGGGAGTCAGGGACCAGAGGGAGTCAGGGACCAGAGGGAGTCAGGGACCAGAGGGAGCCAGGGACCAGAGGGAGCCAGGGACCAGAGGGAGTCACGGACCAGAGGGAGTGTGGGACCAGAGGGAGTCAGGGACCAGAGAGAGTCCAGGACCAGAGTGTGTGTGTTGTGCGTGTGTGTGTGTGTGTGCGTGTGTGTGCGTGTGGGTGTGTGTGCGTGTGCGCGTGTGCGTGTGGGTGTGTGTGTGCGTGTGCGTGTGTGTGCGTGTGTGTGTGTGTTTATGTGTGTGTGTTTATGTGTGTGTGTTGTGTGTTGTGTGTGTGCAGCAGTTGTCATCCATATAAATGTACAATCCAAAGTCAAACGTTTGAACAATCTAAAGATAAAAGTGTTTTTAAAAATAAACATCTTAGACTCACTGTTCTCACTGAAGACGACAGCTACAGGCAAACAGGGTCCTGAAACACACACACAAACATAAACACACACACACACACATAAACAGACAGATGCACACACATAAACACACACACACACATCAACACACACACACATAAACACACACAGACACACACACAAATTAACACACAGACACACACACACATTAACACACAAAGAGAGACACACACATACATACAAACCCTCTTTACCTCTATCCTCCTCCTCTTTACCTCTGTCCTCCTCCTCTTTACCTCTGTTCTCCTCCTCTTTACCTCTGTTCTCCTCCTCTTTACCTCTGTACTTTTCCTCCTCTTTACCTCTGTCCTCCTCCTCTTTACCTCTGTCCTCCTCCTTCTCCTCCTCTTTACCTCTATCCTCCTCCTCCTCTTTACCTCTGTCCTCCTCTTTACCCCTGTCCTCCTTCTCCTCCTCTTTACCTCTGTCCTCCTCCTCTTTACCTCTGTCCTCGTCCTCTTTACCTCTGTCCTCCTATTCCTCCTCTTTACCTCTGTCCTCTTCCTCCTCCCTCCTCTTTACCTCTGTCCTCCTCCTCTTTACCTCTGTCCTCCTCCTCTTTACCTTTGTCCTCCTCCTCTTTACTCCTGTCCTCCTTCCTCCTCTTTACCTCTGGCCTCCTCTTTACCTCTGTACTTTTCCTCCTCTTTACCTCTGGCCTCCTCTTTACCTCTGTCCTCCTCCTCTTTACCTCTGGCCTCCTCTTTACCTTTGTCCTCCTCCTCTTTACCTCTGTCCTCCTCCCCCTCCTCCTCTTTACCTCTGTCCTCCTCCCCCTCCTCTTTACCTCTGTCCTCCTCCTCATCCTCCTCTTTCCCTCTGTCCTCCTCTTTACCTTTGTCCTCCTCCTCCTCCTCTTTACCTCTATCCTCCTCCACCTCTTTACCTCTGTCCTCCTCCTCCTCCTCTTTACCTCTATCCTCCTCCACCTCTTTACCTCTGTCCTCTCCTCTTTACCTCTGTCCTCCTCCTCTTTACCTCTGTCCTCCTCCTCTTTACCTCTGTCCTCCTCCTCTTTACCTCGTCCTCCTTCTCCTCCTCTTTACCTCTGTCCTCCTCCTCCTCCTCCTCTTTACCTCTGTCCTCCTCCTCTTTACCTCTGTCCTCGTCTTTACCTTTGTCCTCCTCCTCTTTACCTCTATCCTCCTCCTCCTCTTTACCTCTGTCCTCCTCCTCTTTACCTCTGTCCTCCTCGCCCTGCTCTTTACCTCTATTCTCCTCCTCCTCTTTACCTCTGTCCTCCTCCCCCTCCTCCTCTTTACCTCTATCCTCCTCCCCCTCCTCTTTATCTCTATCCTCCTCCTCCTCTTTACCTCTGTCCTCCTCCTCCTCTTTACCTCTGTCCTCCTCCTCTTTACCTCTGTCCTCCTCTTTACCTTTGTCCTCCTCCTCCTCTTTACCTCTATCCTCCTCCCCCTCCTCTTTACCTCTATCCTCCTCCTCCTCTTTACCTCTGTCCTCCTCCTCCTCCTCTTTACCCTCTGTCCTCCTCGCCCTGCTCTTTACCTCTACTCTCCTCCTCTTTACCTCTGTCCTCCTCCTCCTCTTTACCTCTGTCCTCCTCGCCCTGCTCTTTACCTCTATTCTCCTCCTCCTCTTTACCTCTGTCCTCCTCCTCCTCTTTACCTCTGTCCTCCTCCCCCTCCTCCTCTTTACCTCTATCCTCCTCCCCCTCCTCTTTACCTCTATCCTCCTCCTCCTCTTTACCTCTGTCCTCCTCCTCTTTACCTCTGTCCTCCTCTTTACCTTTGTCCTCCTCCTCCTCTTTACCTCTATCCTCCTCCCCCTCCTCTTTACCTCTATCCTCCTCCTCCTCTTTACCTCTGTCCTCCTCCTCCTCCTCTTTACCTCTGTCCTCCTCGCCCTGCTCTTTACCTCTATTCTCCTCCTCCTCTTTACCTCTGTCCTCATCTTCCTCTTTACCTCTGTCCTCCTCCGCCTCCTCCTCTTTACCTCTATCCTCCTCCCCCTCCTCTTTACCTCTATCCTCCTCCTCCTCCTCTTACCTCTGTCCTCCTCCTCTTTACCTCTGTCCTCCTCCTCTTTACCTCTGTCCTCCTCTTCCTCTTTACCTCTATCCTCCTCCCCCTCCTCTTTACCTCTGTCCTCCTCCTCTTTACCTCTGTCCTCCTCGCCCTGCTCTTTACCTCTATTCTCCTCCTCCTCTTTACCTCTGTCCTCCTCCCCCTCCTCTTTACCTCTGTCCTCCTCCCCCTCCTCTTTACCTCTGTCCTCCTCCCCCTCCTCCTCTTTACCTCTATCCTCCTCCCCCTCCTCTTTATCTCTATCCTCCTCCTCCTCTTTACCTCTGTCCTCCTCCTCCTCTTTACCTCTGTCCTCCTCCTCTTTACCTCTGTCCTCCTCCTCTTTACCTCTGTCCTCCTCTTTACCTTTGTCCTCCTCCTCCTCCTCTTTACCTCTATCCTCCTCCCCCTCCTCTTTACCTCTATCCTCCTCCTCCTCTTTACATCTGTCCTCCTCCCCTCCTCCTCTTTACCTCTATCCTCCTCCCCCTCCTCTTTACCTCTATCCTCCTCCTCCTCTTTACCTCTGTCCTCCTCCTCTTTACCTCTGTCCTCCTCCTCTTTACCTCTGTCCTCCTCCCCCTCCTCTTAACCTCTGTCCTCCTCCTCCTCTTTACCTCTGTCCTCCTCTTTACCTCCTCCTCCCCCTCCTCCTCTTTACCTCTGTCCTCCTCCTCTTTACCTCTGTCCTCCTCTTTACCTTTGTCCTCCTCCTCCTCTTTACCTCTGTCCTCCTCCTCTTTACCTCTATCCTCCTCCTCCTCTTTACCTCTGTCCTCCTTCTCCTCCTCTTTACCTCTGTCCTCCTCTTTACCTCTGTCCTCCTCCTCTTTACCTCTGTCCTTCTCTTTACCTTTGTCCTCCTCCTCCTCTTTACCTCTGTCCTCCTCCCCCTCCTTCTCTTTACCTCTGTCCTCCTCCTCTTTACCTCTGTCCTCCTCTTAACCTCTGTCCTCCTCCTCCTCCTCTTTACCTCTGTCCTCCTCCTCCTCTTTACCTCTGTCCTCCTCCTCCTCTTTACCTCTGTCCTCCTCCTCCTCTTAACCTCTGTCCTCCTCTTTACCTCTGTCCTCCTCCTCTTTACCTCTGTCCTCCTCTTTACCTCTGTCCTCCACCTCTTTACCTCTGTCCTCCTCTTTACCTCTGTCCTCCTCCTTCCTCTCCTCTTTACCTCTCCTCCTCCTCTTTACCTCTGTCCTCCTCTTTACCTCTGTCCTCCTCTTTACCTCTCCTCCTCCTCTTTACCTCTGTCCTGCTTCTCCTCCTCTTTACCTCTGTCCTCCACCTTCTCTTTACCTCTGTCCTCCTCCTCTTTACCTCTGTCCTCCTCTTTTACCTCTCCGCCTCCGCTTTACCTCTGTTCTCCTCCCCCTCCTCTTTACCTCTATCCTTCTCCTCCTCTTTACCTCTGTCCTCCTCCTCCTCTTTACCTCTGTCCTCCTCCTCCTCTTCACCTTTGTCCTCCTCCTCTTTACCTCTGTCCTCCTCCCCCTCCTCTTTACCTCTATCCTTCTCCTCCTCTTTACCTCTGTCCTCCCCCTCCTCTTTACCTCTGTCCTCCTCCTCCTCTTTACCTCTGTCCCCCTCCTCCTCTTTACCTCTGTCCTCCTCCTCCTCTTTACCTCTGTCCTCCTCCTCCTCTTTACCTCTGTCCTCCTCCTCCTCCTCTTTACCTCTGTCCTCCTCCTCCTCTTTACCTCTGTCCTCCCCCTCCTCCTCTTTACCTCTGTCCTCCTCCCCCACCTCCTCTTTACCTCTGTCCTTGGTGTCCACAGAGCTGCGGCAGTATTCCGTTGACCTGGATTTGAATAAAAAGTTAAAAAGTCCATTTAACTGGACGTGTTACAGGAGGAGGTGTTAAGGAGGAGAGAAGAGGAGGAGGCGAGAGGAGAAGGAGGAGCAGGTGGAGGGAGACAGTGTATGTGTGTGGACATGTGTGTGTGTGTCTGTGTGTTTGATTTAATCAGGAATAGTGGAAACCGTGAGCACAATTTTGAGGTTTTAAAGGCCGGCATTGGAACTTTAGTCCCAGCTAAACAGCCAAATTGCCCAGTTAAATCCAGTGAGTTTTTGCACTGTATAGACTGTGGGGCATTGCTTAAGCGAAAGTCGCTGTGGAGGCATGTGGCCAGGTGCCGGCTTTCACAGAAAGATGCCCAGGCTAAACCAGGTAGAAGTAGGGTCCAGTCCCTCTGCTCCCTAGCCCAGCCTGTACCGGAGGGCATCAGCAAAAAGCTGTGGTCTTTAATTTCGGCAATGCATCAGGATGAGGTCACGGGTGTTGTCAAAGCAGAAAAGGGGATTCTGAGACTCGGAGAGCACCTGTACTTAAAACACGGGCATGATAAGACTAAGCATGATTACATTAGGCAGAAAATGAGAGAAGTCGGTAGGTTAATTAACGAAGCAAAAACTGCAGGGAAACTGAAAACAATTAAGGATTTCTTTATTCCTTCCAACTTTAACCATGTGATTGATGCAGTCAGGTCTGTGGCTGGATATGATGAGGAAACAAATCAATACAAGACTCCATCCTTGGCCCTCAAACTCGGCCATAGCCTCAGAAAGCTAGCAGATATTCTTGAATGTGACTCAAAAATGGAGCATTGTGTTGATGAACTATTTATTAAAAACCTCCAACGAAGCCGGCTGCTTTTTGAGAAGAGGTGGGACGTCTGTGTTTCTTCTGCTGCCCTACAGACCCTCCGGCAAGCCAAGTGGAACACTCCGGACCTGCTCCCTCTGACTGAGGACGTTAGAGCCATGCATGCACATATTGAGGTATGTCGACCTGAATATGTGCAAACCCTAATAAGTGAGCCAACGTCTAAGCATTGGTCTAAACTGGCAGTTTTGACTCTTTGTGAGGTCATCATTTTCAATCGAAGAAGGGAAGGTGAGGTTTCAAAGATGCCACTGACAGCCTTTACCTTAAGAAGTAAGACTGGGATCCATTCTGACATTGCTCTGGGACTGTCCCAACTTGAGAAAAAGCTGTGTCAGCATTTTCAACGCATTGAAATTAAAGGGAAAAGAAGTCGGAAAGTGCCGGTTCTTTTGACTCCTGAAATGATTGCTTCGATGGAGGTGCTGGTGGAGAACAGAAGGGCCTGTTCCATCTCTGACCATAACCCATACTTCTTTTCCCGCCCGGGCGCAGACACCCACATCAGGGGATCAGACTCCCTACGCCAGGTAGCCAAAGAATGTGGTGCGGTGCATCCAGAGATGCTATCCTCAACCAAACTTAGAAAGCACATAGCTACTATGTCTACAGTTCTCAATATGAAAGAGAATGAGATGGACATACTTGCCAACTTCCTCGGCCATGACATTCGCATCCACAGGCAATATTACAGACTACCAGAGGGGGCGCTGGAGCTGGCCAAAGATGGCCATGGAGCAGGGAAGAGTGACGGAATTCGAAGGAAAGAGCCTCGACCAGATACAAATTGAGCCTGAAGGTAATTCTTGATATTATTAAAATATGTATGATTTTTTTCCCCTAAAGGCCACTTGTATTTTTATTTTCTGTGCGACAGGGAGAGCAGTAGAGATCCTCTCACAAACGGACGGGCTAAAAGAAACTTCAAGCGGAGAACCTTCAACCATTCATCCAGATGCACCCCATGGTAGTGGCAGTGCCCCTTCTGGTAAGTGTACCAGGTGGGGGATTACAGCCAGGCTGCTTGGTCCTAACCCTGGGAGTGTATATTGCTAATATATTTTTATTTCTCTCCCTAGAACGTTAGAGAAAGCCATGGTCTGCATCTGAGGTGAAGGCTGTGGAGAAGACCATGACACCTTTCATACAGACTGGAAAGGTCCCTGGGAAGTCTCACTGCCTGGCCTGCATTAATGCCTCACCAGATGACCTTAGACATCGGACATGGAGTGGCATTAAATTCTATGTCAAAAATAGAATCACTGCAATTCGAAAAAAAAATCAAAAATAAGATTCCTTTAAAAGAGTTGTTTGTTTTCCATTGACTGTTTTGTATTACTTAAAGTAGTCCCAGTAAAAAAAGATTATGTCTCTGGGTCCCATTCTGAACGGCCCTGTCAAAGGGACCCACCAGGTAACAAAAACGTGTATGCAGGGCTTAAAGTTTTCCGGCACCGTGCCGGAAATCCGGCGGGAGAAAAAAAAAAAAAAAAAATCCCTTTTTTTTTTTTTTAATATATATATAAATAAATGATTGCTGTCATTTGAAAAAGGTTCAAGTGTGTTCTACCAATTGTATGAAAGGATTGCATGTGTATAGCGCAGGGATTAAAGAGTTCCGTCTAAGTGACGGATTTCCGTCAAATGAAATTGGTCTGAAAAAAAAACACAATATATAATAATAATATAATACACACAATGAAATGGTTAATTATAACAAAATATATAGTAATACGTGTGAATCTGTTGTATATATCTAGATATATATTAATAATTTGAATATAATTGTATTTATATGTATATAGAAATAAAAAGTAACGAGTGGGCCTTGAACGTGCCGTGGCTAGCTACATGAGCGCTCCGCAAATGATTCAAGGCAATGGGACGTAGCCAAGTTAGCGATGGTAACACGGAGGTGAAAGTTTCTGAAAAGTGCACGGAGCTTTTGAAAAGGAGAAGAGGACAAGGAAAATGTAATCCCGAACGGAGCAATAACAGCCAGCAGCCCGCGGACCGGTAAACTGGGCGCGTTATCAGAGGAAAGGTAGGACATAATTAACGTTTACCAAACGCAATGCTTTTTTATTTAACGGAATGTACAATATGTACTTTGCTGTGACTGGGAATGGGGACAAACATGTCTTGGTGAGCTTTTGATAATATCTTGGTGGCGATCCCCATGCAAAACTGCGTGATAAAAAGAGCCAATCAACGAGAGCGAACGGAAGAAACTCGCTGAAGAAAGGTGTGTGTTAGCAGGTCTTATATTCATTCATCAAAGCTAGCCTAGCATGCACGCACAATCACAATCATGGATAATAATGATAATAATAATAATGCATCGGTTTTATATAGCGCTTTTTTGGACACTCAAAGACGCTTCACATGTCATTATTCTTTCACTCCATACACGGTGGTGATAAACTACTACTGTAGCCACAGCTGCCCTGGGGCACACTGACAGAAGCGAGGCAACCAGTATGTGCCATCGGCCCCTCCGATCACCACCAACCATTCACACACACACACCAGACTCATTCTAGGCAATGGGGGTGAAGTGTCTTGCCTAAGGACACAACGGCAGTTTGGCACTTTACAGCCGCAGCCGCCCCACTCGTTGTTTATGGAAGAAGGAGCAGTATAAGTTGCTGTTGATAACGGAGTGAAAAATAAATGGAGGTGGGCATGGCTGGATGAGGTGGAGACAATGGGATTCTGTTGCTTCATGGTGCAAAAAGATAAAGGTGTCCGGTGCTTGTTCGTACTTCGCTATTATTATTTTTTTATATGGGAGTAATGAGAAAACAGCTTTGGATTCACCACCAGCTCAAAACTGCGCACTTGGCAGCTGTCCGTGCACTTTCCCACACTTCTTTACCTGGTGCATCAGATTCAGCGACAACTGAGACTAGGCTTGCTCTGGTGGACTGTGTCTGTGACCTAAAACTATCTGTGGCTTTATCGCAGAAAATAACCTGTCGTTCAGAACCATCACTACCGCTGGTAGATTTAATTATCATTAATCATTTGCAGTTGATAAAACTGCGCTGTGCACTAGCACCAAGTTGATAGGGAAACCTTTTTCTTAAACATTGAGTGTCCACAAACAAATGTGGACAGAATTTTGAATGTCCTTTTTAACATGTTGGGCGGAGGGTTTAATGAGGAGGCTACTTTGTCTGAACAATTAAATAGAGGGAAAAAACCGCATGGTCCAGAGGAGGAAGCAGCTGGTGCAGAGGAGTGGGCAGCTGGTCCAGAGGAGGAGGCAGCTGGTGCAGAGGAGAGTTGTCTGGCTGGTCCAGAGGAGGAGGCAGCTGGTGCAGAGGAGAGTTGTCTGGCTGGTCCAGAGGAGGAGGCAGCTGGTGCAGAGGAGAGTTGTCTGGCTGGTCCAGAGGAGGAGGCAGCTGGTGCAGAGGAGAGTTGTCTGGCTGGTCCAGAGGAGATGATAAAAAGGCTGCAGCCCCACCGCACCAGCCAGACAACTCTCCTCTGCACCAGCTGCCTCCTCCTCTGCACCAGCTGCCCACTCCTCTGGACCAGCCAGACAACTCTCCTCTGCACCAGCTGCCTCCTCCTCTGCACCAGCTGCCCACTCCTCTGGACCAGCCAGACAACTCTCCTCTGCACCAGCTGCCTCCTCCTCTGCACCAGCTGCCCACTCCTCTGGACCAGCCAGACAACTCTCCTCTGCACCAGCTGCCTCCTCCTCTGCACCAGCTGCCCACTCCTCTGGACCAGCCAGACAACTCTCCTCTGCACCAGCTGCCTCCTCCTCTGGACCAGCCAGACAACTCTCCTCTGCACCAGCTGCCTCCTCCTCTGGACCAGCCAGACAACTCTCCTCTGCACCAGCTGCCTCCTCCTCTGGACCAGCCAGACAACTCTCCTCTGCACCAGCTGCTTCCTCCTCTGGACCATGCGGTTTTTTCCCTCTATTTAATTGTTCAGACAAAGTAGCCTCCTCATTAAACCCTCCGCCCAACATGTTAAAAAGAAAGCATACAGATAATTCACACCCTAAACAAAAGAAAAAGAAATGAATATTTCAAACAGTACTGTTAGCATTTGTGTTGTTTTGTAATGTTTTACCAAATCAAAGTCTATTGAAAGTTAACACAGGTGCTTTATGAAGACACACAGCACAAAGCTCATTTGCACTTTAGTTTCATTTATTTGTGTTGAAAGCTAAATGTTTAATAAGTAGAATTTGAAAGTTAAGGTTTATTTATATATTTAAGGTTGAATCTGGAAGTGTTCTTGTTGCCTGATCCAGTGTTTTTAGTTTTTGTATGTCATATCTGATGTCTAGTTTGGATGTTTAATCAGTTTACAGTTTACACATAAAATGTTAGTAATAACATCAATAATAATTAAAAAAAAGAAAATAGTATATTCACTTACTGTGATGTGGTATGTTTTTTTTTTTTTTTTACATTATTACACAAATCCAAACTAGGGGTACTTGCAGAAAGGTCTTGGCAAGGTGAGGCTTTACATTTAAGTAACAATTCAATAGTCAGATGATGTATTTATTGCCAACAACTGATGTTTATAATAAACATCAGTTGTTGGCAATAAATAGATATAAATTATATGTATGAGCGTATAAAGGCGCTTATAAAAAACGCTTATTAGTGATCATTCTATGATTCATATAGATGGTTCAGGCTCAGGAATTTTTTCAACTTTAACCCATGTGTGTGTGTGTGTGTTTGTGTGTGTGAGTGCGTGTGCGTGGGTTTGTTTGTGAGTGCATGTGTGTGTGTGTGTCTGTGTGTGTCTGTGTGTGTGTGTGTGTGTGTGGTCTCCTCTGGACACAGACCTCCTGAAGCTCTGCCTCAGGCTCACTTTGTCTCCACAGTTTTCCTGAAAAAGACAGAATCATTTAAATGTTTTCTGACTTTAACTTTTGTATTTCATTTGTAGACTGTTATGTACTGATGGACAGGGCTAACCAGCTAGCTCAATGCTAATCTGCTAGCTCAATGCTAACCTGCTAGCTCAATGCTAACCAGCTAGCTCAATGCTAACCAGCTAGCTCAATGCTAATCTGCTAGCTCAATGCTAACCTGCTAGCTCAATGCTAACCAGCTAGCTCAATGCTAACCTGCTAGCTCAATGCTAACCCGCTAGCTCAATGTAGTGTGTAGATGGTCCTGGAGGAGTCAAAAATCATCCAGGCTGGAACATGACTGTCGTGTTGTGTAGTGTGTTGTGTTACCTGTTAGTGGTTGTGTAGTGTGTTGTGTTACCTGTGTGTGGTTGTGTAGTGTGTTGTGTTACCTGTGTGTGGTTGTGTAGTGTGTTGTGTAACCTGTGTGTGGTTGTGTAGTGTGTTGTGTTACCTGTGTGTGGTTGTGTAGTGTGTTGTGTTACCTGTGTGTGGTTGTGTAATGTGTTGAGTTACCTGTGTGTGGTTGTGTAGTGTGTTGTGTTTCCTGTCTGTGGTTGTGTAGTGTGTTGTGTTTCCTGTGTGTGGTTGTGTAGTGTGTTGTGTTACATGTGTGTGGTTGTGTAGTGTGTTGTGTTACCTGTGCGTGATTGTGTAGTGTGTAGTGTTACCTGTGTGTGGTTGTGTAGTGTGTTGAGTTACCTGTGTGTGGTTGTGTAGTGTGTAGTGTTACCTGTGTGTGGTTGTGTAGTGTGTTGAGTTACCTGTGTGTGGTTGTGTAGTGTGTTGTGTTTCCTGTGTGTGGTTGTGTAGTGTGTTGTGTTACATGTGTGTGGTTGTGTAGTGTGTTGTGTTACCTGTGCGTGATTGTGTAGTGTGTTGTGTTTCCTGTGTGTGGTTGTGTTGTGTGTTGTGTTTCCTGTGTGTGGTTGTATAGTGTGTTGTGTTTCCTGTGTGTGGTTGTATAGTGTGTTGTGTTTCCTGTGTGTGGTTGTGTAGTGTGTTGTGTTTCCTGTGTGTGGTTGTATAGTGTGTTGTTTTACCTATGTGTGGTTGAATAGTGTGTTGTGTTTCCTGTGTGTGGTTGTGTTACCTGTGTGTGGTTGTGTTACCTGTGTGTGGTTGTTTACCTGTGTGTGGTTGTGTTACCTGTGTGTGGTTTGTTACCTGTGTGTGGTTGAGTAGTGTGTTGTGTTACCTGTGTGTGGTTGAGTAGTGTGTTGTGTTACCTGTGTGTGGTTTGTTACCTGTGTGTGGTTGAGTAGTGTGTTGTGTTACCTGTGTGTGGTTGAGTAGTGTGTTGTGTTACCTGTGTGTGGTTGTGCATCCGCAGTACAAATCGTCCTTCTGTTTGGTTCTTGTTCCAGTTCAGCTGCAGCAGCAGGGGGCGCTCTCCTGCCTCCAGTCTGCGCTCTGAGGACACCACAGAAGAAGACACACTGCCAATCACAGGCCAGGGCTGAGGTCTCACCTTTGGCTGCACCTCCCACAGGAGGAGGTCTCACCTTTGGCTGCACCTCCCACAGGAGGAGGTCTCACCTGTGGCTGCACCTCCCACAGGAGGAGGTCTCACCTGTGGCTGCACCTCCCACAGGAAGAAGACGTCTCACCTGTGGCTGCACCTCCCACAGGAAGAAGACGTCTCACCTGTGGCTGCACCTCCCACAGGAAGAGGAGGTCTCACCTGTGGCTGCACCTCCCACAGGAAGAGGAGGTCTCACCTGTGGCTGCACCTCCTACAGGAAGAGGAGGTCTCATGTAACAACTGCTTTGTTATTAAAAGGTAATAAATTAGATAAGTGTAATAGTATTGGGCTATTGATCAGAAGAGTCTAGGGTCGGCTGCTGGAGGATAGGCTCAGTAAATGACAGTACAAAAAGGTAAGTTGATGTAAAGTGTATTATACAACCAAAAGTGAAACCAATGAACAAATATTTACAATGAATACCGGTAAAAGCAAAAGAAATGAATCAAAGTTCAATAATCCAGGGTGTTAGTCCAAAAGTTCAGTAATGGACAATAACTGCTTGGGTTGAGCACCACAAATGTCCTTAGGAAGCTATGGTTGAGGTGGTTTATGTCCAAGCGCGATTTTATGGAGTATCGGAATATGTGGAGTGGTGTCAATCCTCACAACGGAAGGAGGGGAAAAGGAAAAAGAAAGGAGACAGGCTGCTTAGCCTCCCACCCACTAGGAGTCGACCAACACACAGGAAGACAGTTCCAGGCTCTCTAGCTCGCCATCAATTAGGTCCCCAGCAATGGGAAACCTGGCCTGTATAAACAAACAAGGCCTCTCAGTCATGTGCACAAAGTCAAATATAAATCAATGGTACCATATACCTATATATATATATATATATAGGGCGACAGTAGCTCAGTTGGTAGAGCACTGGCCTTTGAGCCTGAAGGTCGTGGGTTCAAGCCCACCACGGGACCTTCTCCACCGACTCCCACTGATGACTGCTGTCGTTGTGTCCTTGGGCAAGACACTTAACCCTGCATTGCCTGAACCCCCCGCTGAAAAATCAAGGCTGTATTGTCACTGACAGAGCAGCCGTCCTCCTGTGGACTCACCACCTGCAGAGGATCAGTGAGGGGCTGGTGCTATGAGACTTGGGTGCAGCTCTGACTGCCACCCCCCCGACCCAGAAATGGATTAAGGGGAAGAAGATGGATGGATGGATGGGTACCATATACAAATCAACAGGAGCTTATGCTAAGCTAAACAAATCACAGTCAAAATCACATGGATGTTGGACATCACACATAAAAACCACAAACTAGCATATCAGCATGCTAATTTACCATTACAGTACATAATAATCTGTGGTACACTCACCAGTCCAGATTATCGTGAGCACACACACCGGAAAATTACTGTCACACACACAAATGTTTAGTCTGTGAATTAAAATAATGCAACTGGTAAGTTTGTTGAATGTATAAAGATGAAAAAGTTTAAAGTGATTCAAAGACTGACCTAGCAGCTGCTGTCTCCTTACTCCTCACTCCTCACACTCGAGTGTGAGAAGTGATAGCAGCTTTTAAACTGTACTGATTATGAAATCAGGTGTGTGTGTGTGTGTGTGTTCTGGGACAGGTGCTATGCTCTGGCTAATTGCTAGAGAAGGGGAAAACCAGGGATGGATTGAAATTTAACCCTGGGTTACATCCTCCCCCCTTAAACCCTTGCACGTCCCGTTGCAAGATACAGCTTGCGGATTTGGATAAATCGACTTAAATGTTGAGGAACCTAAAGCGTCGGACAAACTATGCAAAACTGTCTGCATGACCGATATCAACGGATTGCCTAAGGAACCATAATTAAAACGTTTAGGCGGTGATCTATGACGGTTCGAACGCCTTAGAGTAGATTCAGGTTCGGCAATTTCGGTAGCAGGTAAGTTTTGTGTGCCATCCAGATTTTGTGGTTCAGCCGAATTATTTCCAAAATGGTCATTTTCTTCAGGATCCACATCATCAACGGACAACGGAGTCATCGGATCAGGTAAGGGTTCATTTGCAGGGTTGGTTTCTTCAGCAGGTAAGTTATCAGGGTTTACTGTCTCTTCAGCATGAGCCTCATCGGCAGGAAGGGTCGACTCTATGGTTTCGGCATCACGTTGAAGGGCTGTTGGATATTGGAATCCCTCAACTGAGAACTGTAGAGGTACTGGAAGAATGTGGATCGGCAGATCATCCAACAAGTCCTCTTCCTTATCAGCATCTTCAGCTTGAAGTTCGTTCAGTCGCTGCTGACGAGTTCGACGAGGTACTGGAACCGGAATGGAATCAGGCACATCAGTAACCTTGGGAAGGTATCCGCACGGCAACAGGAGATCCCGATGCAAAGTGCGTGGTGGTCCATCAAGGCTTTCAGGCTTGACAGTATAAACTGGTAGGTCTCCAGCTCTTTTAACCACGATGTAGATGTTTTGCTCCCACTTGTCACTTAGTTTGTGCTTGCCCCTTATCCTTACATTTCGCACAAGCACTCTGTCACCAACTTCTAGCTGGGATGGGCGTATGTTCTTGTCGAAACGAACCTTGTTTCGACCAGTACTTTTCAGTGCGTTTTTCTGAGGCAATTCTGTAACTCTCCTTCAACCTTGCCTTGAGCTTTTGCACATACTCCGAATGCGGTTGAGGAGTGTTATTCTGAAGGGGCAACTGGAAGGCTAGATCCACCGGAAGGCGAGGTGTTCTGCCAAACATTAATTCGTAAGGCGTGAACCCGGTCACTTCGTTTCTGGTGCAATTATAGGCGTGAACCAGGGGTTTAACAAAATCACGCCACTTGGATTTCTGCTTTGCCTCCAGAGTTCCCAGCATGTTCAGCAAAGTTCGATTAAATCGCTCCACAGGATTTCCTCGAGGATGGTAAGGGGTTGTGTGACTTTTTTGAATCCCTGCCACCGCACAAAGTTCACGAATCAGCTTTGACTCAAAGTCGGGCCCTTGATCTGTGTGCACCCTCTCTGGGATTCCATAATATACAATGAAATTGTCCCATAGACATTTTGCGACAGTTCTAGCAGTTTGGTTGGGTGTCGGAATTGCCACAGCGAACTTAGTGAAGTGATCAGTTAATACTAAAATGTCTTTTGTGTTACTCGAGTCCGGTTCTAAACTCAGGAAATCCATACATACAAGTTCTAACGGACGAGATGTCCGGATGCTGACCAGGGGTGCAGCCTTTTCAGGTAGGGCTTTACGTCGGACACAACGCCCACATGTTTTTACTTTGCGTTCCACATCAGAAGCCATTCTGGGCCAATAAAACCGTGTTCGAGCCAAATCAAGGGTACGATCTATGCCCATATGACCCATATGGTCATGTAAGCTCTCGAGGACAGTCGAGCGAAGACCTTCCGGCAAAACAAGTTGGAAAGATTGTTGCTCATTGTCCTGCCGCTTGCGATACAGAATGCCATCGACAAGTTCCAATTTGTTCATCCCCCGTAGCAGGAGTGGAATCTCTGGCAGCTCTTCTCTGGCAGTTGGTGGAACACTTTCACCGGATTCCAGCTGATGGATTACCTCATGCAGGCTTGGATCTGCCCTTTGTTTGTCTTGGAGTTCAAGGGGGGTCAGCGCCGAGACTACAGGCAGCCCATCCAGGTTGTCGGTGAAGGCCTCAGGAAGGGATTCTGACCTGATGGAAAGGGACTCAACAAGAGTAGTTTGAGCCTGGGTCCTCAGAAGACTGCTCTGACAAATTGCATCCACAACTTCAGCCTCCAGTTGAGCATTGTCTTCATCCAATAGATGTTGCTCCATGAACTGATGGACAAGTTCTTGATCTTTCTGAGGGCACTCATCGATGGGACTGGCATGTGGACGGCGAGATAGAGCATCTGCATCCAAGTTATGCTTTCCCGGTCTGTATTGCAGTTTAAAGGAGAATGTTGAGAGAGCAGCAAGCCAGCGATGGCTGGTGGCATCGAGCTTAGCGGAAGTCAGAATGTAGGTGAGCGGATTACTGTCAGTGATGACAGTGAAATCAGCCCCATACAAGAAGTCTTGGAACTTCTCTGTCACACTCCACTTCAGAGCCAAGAACTCGAGCTTGTGTGCAGGGTAGCGACTTTCACACTGAGACAACCCTCTACTTGCAAAAGCAATGGGCCTCAGCTTCCCCTCCTGCTCCTGATACAGAGCAGCGCCAAGCCCAGTGGTGCTTGCATCTGTGTGAAGTATATAAGGCAGTGCTGGATTTGCAAATCCCAACACGGGAGCAGTGGTCAGCTTCTCAATAAGCAACGCGAAAGCTTGTTGACAGTGGGATGTCCATCTGGCACCAAAGGACTGTTTCGGATCATGCAGATCTTTGGAAGGTTTAGTCTTTGTGGGTGTTTGTACAGGTAAGTATCCTCGAGTTAAGTCGTTGAGTGGTTTTGCAATGGTAGCATATCCTTGGATGAACCGGCGGTAGTAGCCAGCAAAGCCGAGGAAAGATCGCAAGCTCTTCAGATTGTAGGGAACTGGCCAGGATTTCAAGGAGAAAACCTTGTCGGGGTCCGTCTCAACGCCTTTCTCAGATACTATATGGCCGAGGTATCGGACAGAGGTCTGGAAGAATCTGCACTTCTCCGGGGATAACTTCAACCCATATTCTTTCAGCTTGTCCAGCACGTGAAGTAACCGGCGCTCATGCTCCTCAAGCGTATCGGAAAACACGATCAAATCATCAAGGAAAACTAGAACTTCTTTAAGATGCAGGCTACCCATGCTTTTCTCCATCAACCGCTGGAAAGTTGAGGGAGCATTGGTGACACCCTGGGGCATACGATTGAACTCCCAGAACCCCAGGGGAGTGACAAAGGCTGTTTTGGCCTTATCCTCCTCATGCATTTCAATCTGGTAGTACCCGGATTTGAGGTCAAGTACTGAAAACCACTTGGAGCCACTGAGCGCTGAAAAGGACTCTTGCAGATTAGGTAAAGCATAAGCATCTTTTATTGTCTGAATGTTCAGCTTGCGAAAATCAATACAAAGTCTTATATCTCCATTTTTCTTCCTCACAACAACTATAGGGGATGAAAATGGGGATTCGGATTCTCTGATTACCCCAGCATCAAGAAGCTCCTTGAGGTGGTTCCGGACAGCTTCTATGTCGTGAGGGTGAATGGGTCGTGCACGATGCTTGAATGGGGTATTATCATGAAGGTTGATGTGGTGTTTGACCTTACTTGTGCATCCAAAGTCGAGATCATGCTGTGAAAAGACTTCTGGCATGGCATTCAGTTTCTCAGTGATGCGGTCTTTCCATTCAGTTGGAAGAGGTGACTGTCCGAAATTGAACGTCATGGGGTTGGTCTTTGAGCTTGAACCTGGTTTGTGCACAGTGGGGTGGCTGTCGATGATACACACATAGGCTTCAAGTTCGGCAATAATTGCTGATGGTGGAATGCATACATCCTGTCCAGACTCATTCTTCACAGATACGGGCACTTTGTAGGGTGAACGAGATGGTAAGTTGACCAAGCAGTTGCTCACGTGCAGGCCACCCGGTAGTCCTAAATCTGGATACTGGAGAATTGCACTCTTGTTGGTACTGGAAGCGGAGACCTTGGCTGAGCCTTCAACCACAACAGTCGCGCCAGCTGGGATCCTTACAGGGGTTTTACTGCAGAGGGTGACAAGCCCGATGTTATGGTTGCAGTCCCTTTGGCAGGTCAGCTGGAGTGCTTGCAAGACAACCCTGTAGCCGTGACTTCTCGGTTGGAAGGTCTGAAAATCACTGGTGCAATAGTGATCGTACAGAGCTTCGAGAGTGTTCATGCCAATTAATACAGAGGTTTGTATACTGGAAGGGAAATCAGGAACAACAAGTGCAAGGGTTTGAATTTCAAACCTGCTCCCAAGGAAGTCCTCCGGAAACGTTATTGTGGTCTCCACATAACCGAGGTAAGGAACTTCTTGACCCGCTGCACCTTCGACATGGAGTAGCTCATTGAGTGAATGGATGCGTTGATTGCATAAATGTTCATTGTAAAACGACATTGGCAGTGTTGTCACCTGCGATCCAGTATCCAAAAGGCTTGGACAGGATTGGCCAGCGATTGTGACTTCCGCTGTACATCTGGAACCAATTAACCCTTTTGGTAACTTTTGCTTTGGTTGGATGCTTGACTGCATCTCAGCACACTGAACAGGGTTCTTGACGGGACGGACATGGTCCAGTACAGTTCCTGATTGTCCCTCATCAGGAACTCGAACTAGTTTAAATGTCTGTTAGTGCTTGGGTTCTGCCAATTTCCTTGTTTACTCTTGTACCGGGTTCTCTTCAAAGACACTAAGGTTGGGTTGGGATCACTGGTACATTGTGGCTTAATGTGACCATCTTCTCCACAGCGGAAACAAAACCCTGGCCTGGGAGAAGTGGACTTTGTCCCAACCTTTAGAGTAGGTGATGACAACTGTGGGTTCTGATTGGAAGTTAGCATTGCCAATTGCTTTTGGATGTTTAGCATTTGTTCAGTCAATTGGTTCGTGAATGTTGTCAACGCTGCACACAGATTGGGTTCTTCCTCGGTCTGAACTCGTTGTGCATGGTTAGAAACTTTCTGCTTAGCGCCCAAGTGTTGTCTCATGCGGACAATTTTTGCAGCATCTTGATCCTCTTCAGTGCGTAACAGCAATAAAAGTTCAGCAAACGATGGTGGGTTGCTCTTCTTCTGTTTCAGCTGTAATTCCTCTATGAGGTTATTATCCCAACAACCTCGACAGAATTGGGTCAATAGGCATTTGTTCATGTCTCTTGCCGGAACTCCACCCCTCTTCACTGCGTGCTGCAATGCGACTTGGAGCCGTTGCAGGTAAGTAGACGGTTGCTCCCCAGCATTTTGGTAAGTGTCCAGAAACTTAGCATAGAGTTCATCCCCATCTTGTACGGTACCATGTGCAGAATCCAGGTGTTGTAGATAGATCTCCGGAGTTGTGTCGGAACGAAGGTGTTTTACCATGTCAGCGGCCGGAGGTAGAAGACTATCCCGAATTGACCTGGTGCGTTGAAGATCTGACATGGATGGGTCCTGCAGAATTAGTTCCACAGCACACCGCCACGTATCATAGTCAGTTTCATGCGTTGGCCTTGGCACTTTCCCAGAGAATGTCCGTAAGCGTTGCGATGGATGGTATTGCAGGTGCTGGTCCCCACTCCGGACAACATGTTCCACCACATAACGTTGGACCTCAGGTGGATTCAACTCACTTTGCGTCATATGGATCGTGGACCGCCTCTCCTGGATTCCTTCTGTAAAAGCGTTAGCTGCAGACGAGGAAGGAAGGGCTGTTGGTGATGGACTCTCAGAAAGTTTTATATTAACATCTGCAGTCGATGTAGTGGTTGAGGCACCGGCTTGTGTATCAGGGGATTCGAGTTCAGCAATGGACTGACTGAGTTGGACCAGCATATCTCTTAGTACCTCAGGGTATTGTTTCCCGGACTTCTTTGCGACTGCTTTGAGGTCTGCCAGATAAGAGTTTGTCTTCAAACCACAAATTCTGGATGCGTAAACATCGGACAAGCGTGCAACGTAACATTTATGTCCTAAGTCTGAACAATAAGTATACGGTAACGAAGGTAACTTTGTCAACGCAGACGCGGTAGTAAACTCAACAACAACGCGTTCGTGGAAATCGGAGTCAACACTATCAATTCTGACATCTTGATTAATGTCACCGCATTTCTCAAGAAAAGCAATTACTTCATCGCGTAATAACTGGTTAGTCGCACCAGTGACTATAACGGCATGGGGTATGATAATACCGAGATTATCAAAAACTTCCATTACAGATAACTTCAACTGGGTGAGTATGAGAAAAGTATTTACTGTGTCACTATCCTCCTGGCTAGCTCGCCAAATTATGTAACAACTGCTTTGTTATTAAAAGGTAATAAATTAGATAAGTGTAATAGTATTGGGCTATTGATCAGAAGAGTCTAGGGTCGGCTGCTGGAGGATAGGCTCAGTAAATGACAGTACAAAAAGGTAAGTTGATGTAAAGTGTATTATACAACCAAAAGTGAAACCAATGAACAAATATTTACAATGAATACCGGTAAAAGCAAAAGAAATGAATCAAAGTTCAATAATCCAGGGTGTTAGTCCAAAAGTTCAGTAATGGACAATAACTGCTTGGGTTGAGCACCACAAATGTCCTTAGGAAGCTATGGTTGAGGTGGTTTATGTCCAAGCGCGATTTTATGGAGTATCGGAATATGTGGAGTGGTGTCAATCCTCACAACGGAAGGAGGGGAAAAGGAAAAAGAAAGGAGACAGGCTGCTTAGCCTCCCACCCACTAGGAGTCGACCAACACACAGGAAGACAGTTCCAGGCTCTCTAGCTCGCCATCAATTAGGTCCCCAGCAATGGGAAACCTGGCCTGTATAAACAAACAAGGCCTCTCAGTCATGTGCACAAAGTCAAATATAAATCAATGGTACCATATACAAATCAACAGGAGCTTATGCTAAGCTAAACAAATCACAGTCAAAATCACATGGATGTTGGACATCACACATAAAAACCACAAACTAGCATATCAGCATGCTAATTTACCATTACAGTACATAATAATCTGTGGTACACTCACCAGTCCAGATTATCGTGAGCACACACACCGGAAAATTACTGTCACACACACAAATGTTTAGTCTGTGAATTAAAATAATGCAACTGGTAAGTTTGTTGAATGTATAAAGATGAAAAAGTTTAAAGTGATTCAAAGACTGACCTAGCAGCTGCTGTCTCCTTACTCCTCACTCCTCACACTCGAGTGTGAGAAGTGATAGCAGCTTTTAAACTGTACTGATTATGAAATCAGGTGTGTGTGTGTGTGTGTGTTCTGGGACAGGTGCTATGCTCTGGCTAATTGCTAGAGAAGGGGAAAACCAGGGATGGATTGAAATTTAACCCTGGGTTACACTCACCTGTGGCTGCGTCTCCCACAGGAGGAGGTCTCACCTGTGGCTGCGTCTCCCACAGGAGGAGGTCTCACCTGTGGCTGCACCTCCCACAAGAGGAGGTCTCACCTGTGGCTGCACCTCCCACAAGAGGAGGTCTCACCTGTAGCTGCACCTCCCACAGGAGGAGGTCTCACCTATGGCAGAACCTCCCACAAGAGGAAGTGTCACCTGTGGCAGCACCTCCCACAGGAGGAGGTCTCACCTGTGGCAGCACCTCCCACAGAAGCAGGTCTCACCTGTGGCAGCACCTCCCACAGGAAGAGGAGGTCTCACCTGTGGCTGCACCTCCCACAGGAGGAGATCTCCCCTGTGGCTGCATCTTTCACAGGAGGAGGGCTCACCTGTGTCCGCCTGTACCTCCCACAGAGAGGAGGTGCTGTGGGGGAGGTGAGGGGTGATCTTGTGCAGCAGGAGGTGCAGGACCGTGTGGGAGGTCCAGACACTGGACACTCGCAGACACTTGGTGCCGACGCTCTGACCGCAGAGCTGCAGGTGGAAGCGGATCACCCCAGAGAAGTCCAGGTTCTGACGACACAGTGTGGGCCTGTTAGCTCGATGCTAACTGTATAGTAACTGTTGTATACATTAGTCACATGTTCTATAGTAACTGTTGTATTAGTCACATGTTCTATAGTAACTGTTGTATTAGTCACATGTTCTATAGTAACTGTTGTATTAGTCACATGTTCTATAGTAACTGTTGTATTAGTCACATGTTCTATAGTAACTGTTGTATTAGTCACATGTTCTATAGTAACTGTTGTATTAGTCACATGTTCTATAGTAACTGTTGTATTAGTCACATGTTCTATAGTAACTGTTGTATACTTTAGTCACATGTTCTATAGTAACTGTTGTATACATTAGTCACATGTTCTATAGTAACTGTTGTATACATTAGTCACATGTTCTATAGTAACTGTTGTATACATTAGTTCACATGATGGGAGACCGCACTGGGAAAACCACAACGTGACGTGACTTCCTGTATCCGGTGAGCGTGTTTCTTGACTGCTATCACTCTGCTCTCTGTTTGCACTAACAAACACATTACAAATCCACGTATTGTACACCAAGCTAACTGTGTAAGCACTCCGAGTCAGCTGTACTGTAGCTGAGGTTTAGGTAGCGGTTGTTTGTCTGGTCTCGGAGTCTGTTGTGCGGGCCCGGATCCGTACTAGCTTAGCCTAGCCTAGCTTAGCCTAGCCTAGCCGCTAACTCGCTACTATGGCGGCTGCTGTCTCTCCCTCAATCCTTTACTGCTCGAGTTGCCATATGGCGAGTCTAAACCCTGGATCCTTCCCTGAGGGTAGTGATAGATGTGTGTGAAGTGTAGTGTAGTCGTAGCTCTGGAATCCAGGGTCAGTGAGTTAGAGCTGCGTCTCCGAGCACTGGAGTCTCGAGCTAGCGCTAGCATTAGCTACAGCCAGGCCGTATCCTCAGGGACAGCGGAGCGCAGCTTTAGGGAAAGGCAGAGGAGAACTAGCGAGCCTAGCCTCCCAGCCCGTCCTCCGCAGCTGGGACAAGACCAGGATAGTGATGGCTTTGTGACTGTTCGGAGAGGGCGACGTGTTGTTGGTAGTTTCCCCATTGGGCCTCCTCCTGTTAGCATTTACAATCGCTGGGACGCTCTGTCCGGCTGCGCCCCCGCGCGGCCGGGCGGGGAAGAAGGCCCCACTGAGAGAGCCGCTGAGAGAGCTGCTGAGAGAGCCGATGGAGTCGCTGATGCGCTGGTAATTGGCTCCTCTATTGTTAGAGGTGTTAAGATCCCAGGAGCCACTGTTCGGTGCTTCCCTGGGGCCAGGCTTGGTGATATTGAAGGGAATCTGAGGCTCATGATGACCCACAAGCAGCGTTTCCGTCAAATTGTTATTCACGCGGGTGGTAATGACGTTCGGCGGAAACAGTCCGAGGTGTTGAAGCTGCAAGTCGCCGCGGTGTGCAAGCTGGCTAGCACAATGGCCGACACTGTCATCTTCTCTGGGCCCCTACCTAGCACTAGCAGTGCAGAAGCATTCAGCAGACACTCGGCTTTCAACCGCTGGCTGTCTGGCTGGTGCCCTCGAAGTGGTGTTGTTCATGTTGACAATTGGAGTGCCTTTTGGGGAAAGCCCGGTCTCATCCGCTCGGATGATATCCACCCAACGTTGGCGGGTACATCCCTTTTGGCTAAGAATTTGGCCCTGTCTCGAAACTGTTCTGCTCGGCTCAAATGACGATGCAGAACTGAGGCCCGGGTGCAGAGCTGCTCTGCCACAACCTCTGAGCCCCCATCTGTTCAGTTACTAGCCTCAGAAGCTAGTCAGATTGAAACTGTGTGTGCATGTGTGTGTGTGTGTGTGCCTGTGTGTGCTCAGTTACTAGCCTCAGAACCTAGTCAGATTGAAACTGTGTGTGTTTCCCCGCTTGAAGTCTAAAGCACTATATGCGAGGAAATCTGACCTAGGGTGTCAGACACAGTAACTTAATAAAAGTTCAGACAGACAGAAATAGTTCTAGCGGTAGGGTTGTTAAATGTGGTTTAATGAACGTCAGATCAATCTCGTCTAAATCGCTTCTCATAAACGAACTTATTATAGACAAGGGCTTGGATCTGTTTGCGCTCTCGGAGTCTTGGCTCCAACAGGACGAGTACGTTAGATTGAATGAGTGCACTCCTCCGACGCATGTTAACTACCAGAAAGCCAGAGCTACAGGTCGCGGCGGTGGTGTTGCGATTATATCACACACCAACTTGGTTCTTAGTCCCAAAACCAACAACGCTTTTCACTCGTTTGAAAACTTAACACTTTCAATCACCTGTCCTGGGTGGAGAAAACAAAAAGCGGTACTATTTATAGTTTTATACCGACCTCCTGGTCCTTACAGCGAGTTCCTAACAGAATTCTCTGACTTCATTTCAAACCTAGTTTTGGAATGGGAAAACATAGTTATAACCGGAGACTTCAATATACATGTGGACGACAGCACTGACAGCTTAAACAAAGCTTTCAGCGCCGTACTAGATGGTGTTGGTTTTACTCAGAATGTCGAGGAACCTACTCACATTCATAACCACACCTTGGACCTTGTCCTGACCTACGGCTGTGATGTCTCCAATGTTGACATCCAGCGTCAAAGCTCGTTGCTGTCTGACCATTTCTTGATCACGTTTGATCTCGCTTTGGAGGACTTTCCTGTCCCGCAAGATAAAACCATAATGAAAAGAACCTTAAATGATAAATCTATCACAAGGTTCAAAGAACTAATACAGCCTATGTTGAATACTGCTGCAGGTGAACCTGTTCACAGCAGCTGCAGTCCCTCAGTCATTGACCAAACGGTGGGCAACACTATGGAGTCTTTAAAATCTGCATTAAATGCAGCAGCTCCTTTAAAACAGAAAACCATTAGGATTAGATCATCGTCGCCCTGGTACAGTGTTCAACTCCACACTTTAAAACAGGACGTCAGAAAATTGGAGAGGCTATATCGCCACTCCCACTCGGAGCCTGTCCACAGGGAGTGGAAAGCAGGTCTCCGAAACTACAAGAAGGCCCTTCGCGGGGCTCGAACTCAATACTATTCAACTTTAATAGAAGCGAATAAAAACAACAGTAGATTTTTGTTTGGTACCGTCGCTAAACTCACAAACTGCCATAGCGCAATCGAGCCTAAAATTCCAAGCTCACTGAGCAGTGTCGACTTTCTCCACTTCTTTAATAATAAAATTACATCCATCCGTGACAAGCTGGAGGAGGTTGCTCCTGCTGTTAGTGGTGGACAGGTTGAAGCGGCATACGTGACTTCCCACTTAGACTCTTCAGTGGGCCTTAATAAATTCATGGCTGTGAGCCAAGCAGAGGTGATCTCTGTGGTCACATCCTCAAAAGCCTCAACTTGCATGTTAGACGCAGTCCCGACATGGCTCTTCAAAGACATACTTCCTTTGATAATTGAGCCTATCGTTTATATATAATAAACGCATCCATACAATGTGGCTATGTCCCACAAGCTTTTAAAACCGCGGTAATCAAACCCCTTCTGAAGAAAACAAACCTGGACCCAGAAATACTTACAAACTACAGACCGATCTCAAACCTCACTTTTATATCTAAAATCCTGGAAAAACTTATAGCTGAGCAGCTCCGCTGCCACCTGCAGGAAAATGATATGTTTGAAGTCTTTCAATCAGGATTCAGAGCTCATCATAGCACTGAAACGGCACTAGTCAAAGTCACAAATGACTTACTACTAGCTGCTGATAATGGACAAGTGTCAGTGCTGGTCCTACTGGACCTTAGTGCTGCATTTGACACAATAGACCACAGCATTCTACTGCAGAGGCTAGAATGTGATATAGGTCTTAGAGGAACAGCCCTTGGCTGGTTTAAATCCTATTTATCAGATCGATATCACTTCGTCAATGTGAATCAGGACTCGTCGCCTTATTCTGGAGTGGAATTCGGTGTGCCGCAGGGTTCGGTACTCAGACCGATTCTTTTTACTCTCTACATGCTGCCACTGGGAAACATTATTAAAAAGCATGGAATTAATTTCCACTGCTATGCAGATGACACACAGCTTTATCTGTCGATGAAGCCTAATCAGACAGATCAGCTAGAAAAGCTCAGTGCCTGCATAAAGGACCTTAAAATGTGGATGACTCTTAACTTCCTACTTCTCAACCCGGAGAAGACAGAAGTGATCCTACTCGGTCCGAAGCGCCTGCGTGACTCCCTCACTAACCAGATGGTTACTCTCGATAATGTCAGTATAATACCCAGTAACACTGTGAGGAATCTTGGAGTCATTTTTGACCAAGAACTCTCCTTCAAGGCTTATATAAGCCAAGCAACTAAAACGGCGTACTTCCACTTACGGAACATCGCTAAAATTAGGAATTTCCTTCCTAAAAGTGACGCGGAAAAACTCATTCACGCGTTTGTCACCTCAAGGCTCGACTACTGTAACGCTTTACTGGCAGCGTGCCCTAAAGCCTCTTTGAAGAGCTTCCAGCTCGTTCAGAATACAGCAGCTAGGATCTTAACAGGTACCAAAAGGAGGGAGCACATAACTCCGGTGTTAAAATCACTCCACTGGCTCCCTGTGGAGTACAGAATAAAGTTTAAAATCCTACTCTTAACATATAAAGCCATAAATGGCTTGGCTCCTTCTTATCTCCAAGACACGTTAGTGTCGTATCAACCAAGTCGAGCGTTGCGCTCACAAAACGCCAGACATCTGGTGGTTCCTAAGGTCTCAAAGGTCACTGTTGGTGGCAGAGCATTTAGCTCCAAGCTCCTTTACTGTGGAATCAGCTTCCCATTTATGTTAAGGAAGCAGATACGGTCTCCACATTCAAGGCCAGGCTTAAAGCACTTTACTTTAATTTAGCATATAATTAGGTAATATATAATATGTAGTGTATATATTATATATATATGCTGTATTATGTTATATATTATGTTATATATTATTCAATAATGTATTGTGTTATGTTGTATATTATGTCATATATTTTGCTGCATGTTATTCTTTATTCAAGGCTAGGTTTAAAACAGTCCTCTTTAGTTTAGCATATGGCTAGG